CGGCTTTCTGGCCAATCAGAAAGGCGGGCGCCGTGTTATGACGTGCCGCCCAGCTTCCTGATTGTCCGGGAAGCCGGCTCCATGCTCCTTTGTCATGAGGTGACGAGGCAGTATGAAGCCGGCTTCCCGGGCCAATTAGGAAGCCGGGAGCCACGTCATTACATGCTACCCAACTTATTGATTGGCCAGCTTACCCGACTAATCAGGAAGCCGGGCAGCGAGTCATTACACGCTGCCCGGCTTTCTGATTGTCCGGGAAGCCGGCTCCATGCTCTCTCATCACAAGTGACGAGGGAGCATGGAGCCAGCTTCCCGGCCAATCAGGAAGCCCATAATACTCGGCGTCAATACTGGTATCGGTGCATACCTAATGGCATCAGCACCGATACTGGTATCGGTGCATCCCTAATGACAGCATATCAATTTTTACATCCACTGTAATGACCAAACAGAAATTGAATCTTTACCTGTTCAGCTGTGAAGAGTGGCTCTTCATTTATACATGATACAATGATTGAATGCATGTCTAATTGTTCTCTTAACTCCTCATCATCAGACAGGTCAAGATTTAAACTGTCATTTGTCTGAAATTAAAAAAACAAACATTTTTTTGATTAGTATTATATCTTGTATGCCACAAAGTACAAAGAACAGCAAATTTAAACTTAACAGCAAATTGCCAGACAAGTGAATGCCAAAATGAAGAAAATCTTACAGTCAGTTCATCCAAAACAGATATTTCAGTTTTTACAAGATGCTGCAGAGGGAAAACCACATGCCACTTTCTTGGGACTTAAACTGAAAACTTTCTGTGCTCATGCTTCCAGGTCAACATACCTGCAGTGGCCACTAAGGGGCATTCACTCTCCTTTTTGGATCTTATTTTATGATAGGATTGCAATGGGAAGTGCTAGATGTGCAAAGGTGTGTGGGCAAAACAAAAAACTGTCCAGGGACAATCACAGCATCAAATTATGTCGGAAGATCTTCCTGCTGCAGTATCCAAGATATATAAGAAAGGAGATGCTATCACAGCCAACGCAACGTTGATTAAGTCAACCATGACTTATTTCACAATGTCCAAGCTATCTAAAGGTTTCAGCTTTTTCAGATATTACCATTACAAATTGCAGTTAACCCTTTGGCTAAAAGCCACATAAGCATGCAGCGCTGCATGCTGATATGAAATTATCTTACATACATTTGGTAAACATATTTTCAATTTACTTACAATTTCTTGTTTTCTAGTTACTAGTTCTCTTTGGCAAAAGTGATAAGTGAAAATGGTAATGTGCCCTAGTGTTGCATCCTGGGAGGGTTACATAAGCTAAGCATTGCTGGGAAATCTCATCTGTAATCTCACAGGATCTCAGGGAAAAGCATTTTGCTCCCCTGAGATGATGTGCATGGTCACATGCCCTAGTCACATGTGCAAGAGCTCTGGGAAGTAAAGGGAGATGGATTAATCTGCTCTTAGTAAAAAAAATGGCCACTTTGAGAAGCACGGAGAGGAAAAGAAAAACAAGGTATGCAAGGAATAAAAAGCCTGCAATTCTTTAGGGATGGCAATCTACAAACATATACTTATAAACATTTTCTAAAGTATCTCTGTTGCTATTTTGAAGATATGGGTAAAGTTCCTCTTTAATACCAAATAGCCTATATTACAGTGAATTGATATATTTTAAAATATAAACATTTTACATGTCTACACGGGGTCTGTTTTGCTGGGTACAGATGACCTATTTACGGTTAAATAGCAAAATTTACACTAATCTAGTGTAACATGGATAAGAAATGCCTCAAGTGTCTTCCGTGTTTCCAGATAACTAAACTTGGCATTTTGTTGTAAACGATTTTCAGTAACAGAAAAATCAGTTACAGGGAATAAAATAATAGAAACCATTTCTATTATACAATGATTTAAATGTTTTTCTTCAACTAATCTGAGAACATTGTACAGTACTGCACCAACATCTGCTCACTTTTCACAAATATTTTGCATCGAAACACACTGGAACTGCCAACAGTAACACACAAATGTGTTGACAGTTCATTACAAAAATGTTACACAAGGAATTTTGCTCTGAAATAAATATGAAGCTGCCACTATTTCTTTCCTATTTTGCAAACGTTAGTTGCTTGGCTGCTATGACCCTCTTGCTTGTGTGCTTTTATGACAAGCCCAAAACAAGTATGCAGACTTTTGACTTCACTATGACATTCCTGATATGCCTAGTAGCACTTTCAGGAAACTGGCAATGGCAGCTAAGGCAGCTCATTCCTCTAAGGAAGGTTTACTTTAACCAGTCTGTATATACCCCATTATTACAAGGATGTTTTTCAGTTTTCAGCGCTGTTATAGTTTGACAATTACTGGGTCATGCAACACTGTACCCCTTAATTGTATATTATTTTGAGACAGCTATAGTAGTATTTTGATAGTATTCATTAACCATTGGGTTGTTTATTTTTTTTACTATATAAAAGTAATGATGTCAAGATACTGGCACTTTCAAAAGTACTTGTAATTGTGAAAATGTCCCTATACGTAGCGCCGATAATGGCGCTTTTAATTTTTAAATCACTTCAAGCTGCCCAGAGGTTCGCTTGCTGGGCTCCTCTGGGCAGACTGCCGGGCAGCCAGTTGAGGACCTCAAAGCACCACCACCAGAAATAGATGGAGGGTGTCAGTGCCTTCCTGCCAGAAGAGGCACTGCCTCCCGCTATACACAATGGTCGGGATCCGCTTCAGCGTCTCGGTATACCGAGAGCAGCAGCTCGCGGTATACTGCGGCGTCTCAGTATAACGCGAGCTACAGCTCACGATATACTGAGCCTAGGGTGACGGGAGGACGCTAGTTTGTGTCCTCCCGTTACCGTAAGGGGAACTATGGGGAAAAGCCTTTAACAACATCCGAGGCGAACCATCCACACTATTGAGATCGATCGTGCTCACAGGGCTCTTAGACAACAGGGCACTTCCACTCCACTTAGAAATGTCGTCTGCAGGATCCACTCCTATGCCCTCAAGGAGAAGATTATGCAAAAATTTGCAGTCTCCCAAAATTTGATGAAGCCCCAATTAGACTTTTTCCGGATTTTTCTTGGATTGCCCTGCAACAACAGACAATTGCTACCACTGCTCACTCTCCTCCGTGATGCCAACATCCTCTACCGATGGGGATTCCCTTTAAGCCTTACCACAAGACGTTATGGCAAGTTGGCTACATTGAGGGTTCCAGAGGACTTGCTGTCCTTTTGCAGAGACATGACTATTACTTGTCCTAAAGTTCTTTGCTGGGATCCTTTACCAATTCTTCCTCCGAAACAACTCCTCTGGCAAGAGGTTCCAGCGAAGAAGAGACCCAGATCCATGGGTTCACCTAGGGCTCAGTGAGGTTTCTGTTCCGCAAAATCTTAGTTCAGGCTTTATTATTATGTATCTTGCTTAGATATGCACTACTTGAAGCTCATGCTGTGTCTTTTTTATTTGCTTGATGTACATATTTATCCACTTTCACCTATCTAGAACTACCTCTCTGGCGAGAGCTGTATTCACTTACACACCCCATTATGAGGTCCCCTTATGGGCTGTGGTTTTTGAGCTCCAAATTGTACTTACCCTCCTTAGTTGTCCCTGAGGTCCTGCTCCTGTCTGAATAGTTTGACCACCAGTAGTTTAGGCAGTCGGTCCAGGGAGAGCTACACTGTGGTATTGATATCCAACCACCCCCCACTTAACCATTCCTGGAAGGTCCCCCCAGTCATGTTCGTGGCCTTATTGCCTTGTTGTTTATGGACCATGTCCTTTGATTCCTTTAGGGCACTGTCAAACCTGGAATTGTCAGTCTTATGTTTATAGTTTTTTCTCTTTTGTAATTGGCATTACACATGTTACTTTTCTAGTTTTCTATCTTTGCCTCTGCCTCCATGTTCCCTTTGCTTGGATTGATGTCCCCTCAGCTTCTCCTGGGGTCTTGAGGAACAGCATTATCTGGTCAGAGTTCCTTCCCTCCTTTTCACTACCCGGGTCGATGAGATCTGTGAGTTTTGGTTTGGTCCTCTGGTAAATTTTCATGCTCTCCTCCCTTCCTCCATGGCTTCCGTAGATTCTTATAAATTCGTCTTCTTCAATGTGAAGGGATTGAACTGAGGGGTGTCTTGTTTAGGGAACTTAAGCCGTGCACGGCGCACTGATCTGTACAGGCCGGCTCTTAGCACTGTGAATGAGGCCTTAGTATTTATAGTCTTTCTGCTTATAAAATCCCATTAAAAACACATTATTTATGCTGTGCTGCGTTTGACCTGTTTAGTGTAGCTAATGTATGACAGCTGGGGATGCACCGATACCGGTATTTCAGTATCGAGTGCGAGTACCGATATTTTTTTTTCCGGTACTCACTGATACCGAATACCGGAAGTCCCATTAAAAAAGCCAGGAGGTGTGTAATGACTCGCCACCTGGCTTGCCGATTAGCCGGGAAGCTGTCCCCATGCTTCTTGTCACTACGTGACGAGAAAGCATGGAGCCGGCTTTCTGGCCAATCAGAAAGGCGGGCGCCGTGTTATGACGTGCCGCCCAGCTTCCTGATTGTCCGGGAAGCCGGCTCCATGCTCCTTTGTCATGAGGTGACGAGGCAGTATGAAGCCGGCTTCCCGGGCCAATTAGGAAGCCGGGAGCCACGTCATTACATGCTACCCAACTTATTGATTGGCCAGCTTACCCGACTAATCAGGAAGCCGGGCAGCGAGTCATTACACGCTGCCCGGCTTTCTGATTGTCCGGGAAGCCGGCTCCATGCTCTCTCATCACAAGTGACGAGGGAGCATGGAGCCAGCTTCCCGGCCAATCAGGAAGCCCATAATACTCGGCGTCAATACTGGTATCGGTGCATACCTAATGGCATCAGCACCGATACTGGTATCGGTGCATCCCTAATGACAGCATATCAATTTTTACATCCACTGTAATGACCAAACAGAAATTGAATCTTTACCTGTTCAGCTGTGAAGAGTGGCTCTTCATTTATACATGATACAATGATTGAATGCATGTCTAATTGTTCTCTTAACTCCTCATCATCAGACAGGTCAAGATTTAAACTGTCATTTGTCTGAAATTAAAAAAACAAACATTTTTTTGATTAGTATTATATCTTGTATGCCACAAAGTACAAAGAACAGCAAATTTAAACTTAACAGCAAATTGCCAGACAAGTGAATGCCAAAATGAAGAAAATCTTACAGTCAGTTCATCCAAAACAGATATTTCAGTTTTTACAAGATGCTGCAGAGGGAAAACCACATGCCACTTTCTTGGGACTTAAACTGAAAACTTTCTGTGCTCATGCTTCCAGGTCAACATACCTGCAGTGGCCACTAATGTCTTTTATGATTAAATGTTTCAGCTTTTTCAGATATTACCATTACAAATTGCAGTTAACCCTTTGGCTAAAAGCCACATAAGCATGCAGCGCTGCATGCTGATATGAAATTATCTTACATACATTTGGTAAACATATTTTCAATTTACTTACAATTTCTTGTTTTCTAGTTACTAGTTCTCTTTGGCAAAAGTGATAAGTGAAAATGGTAATGTGCCCTAGTGTTGCATCCTGGGAGGGTTACATAAGCTAAGCATTGCTGGGAAATCTCATCTGTAATCTCACAGGATCTCAGGGAAAAGCATTTTGCTCCCCTGAGATGATGTGCATGGTCACATGCCCTAGTCACATGTGCAAGAGCTCTGGGAAGTAAAGGGAGATGGATTAATCTGCTCTTAGTAAAAAAAATGGCCACTTTGAGAAGCACGGAGAGGAAAAGAAAAACAAGGTATGCAAGGAATAAAAAGCCTGCAATTCTTTAGGGATGGCAATCTACAAACATATACTTATAAACATTTTCTAAAGTATCTCTGTTGCTATTTTGAAGATATGGGTAAAGTTCCTCTTTAATACCAAATAGCCTATATTACAGTGAATTGATATATTTTAAAATATAAACATTTTACATGTCTACACGGGGTCTGTTTTGCTGGGTACAGATGACCTATTTACGGTTAAATAGCAAAATTTACACTAATCTAGTGTAACATGGATAAGAAATGCCTCAAGTGTCTTCCGTGTTTCCAGATAACTAAACTTGGCATTTTGTTGTAAACGATTTTCAGTAACAGAAAAATCAGTTACAGGGAATAAAATAATAGAAACCATTTCTATTATACAATGATTTAAATGTTTTTCTTCAACTAATCTGAGAACATTGTACAGTACTGCACCAACATCTGCTCACTTTTCACAAATATTTTGCATCGAAACACACTGGAACTGCCAACAGTAACACACAAATGTGTTGACAGTTCATTACAAAAATGTTACACAAGGAATTTTGCTCTGAAATAAATATGAAGCTGCCACTATTTCTTTCCTATTTTGCAAACGTTAGTTGCTTGGCTGCTATGACCCTCTTGCTTGTGTGCTTTTATGACAAGCCCAAAACAAGTATGCAGACTTTTGACTTCACTATGACATTCCTGATATGCCTAGTAGCACTTTCAGGAAACTGGCAATGGCAGCTAAGGCAGCTCATTCCTCTAAGGAAGGTTTACTTTAACCAGTCTGTATATACCCCATTATTACAAGGATGTTTTTCAGTTTTCAGCGCTGTTATAGTTTGACAATTACTGGGTCATGCAACACTGTACCCCTTAATTGTATATTATTTTGAGACAGCTATAGTAGTATTTTGATAGTATTCATTAACCATTGGGTTGTTTATTTTTTTTACTATATAAAAGTAATGATGTCAAGATACTGGCACTTTCAAAAGTACTTGTAATTGTGAAAATGTCCCTATACGTAGCGCCGATAATGGCGCTTTTAATTTTTAAATCACTTCAAGCTGCCCAGAGGTTCGCTTGCTGGGCTCCTCTGGGCAGACTGCCGGGCAGCCAGTTGAGGACCTCAAAGCACCACCACCAGAAATAGATGGAGGGTGTCAGTGCCTTCCTGCCAGAAGAGGCACTGCCTCCCGCTATACGGACTCCCCCACATAGCATAAGACTACCTGAGGGCAGAAGAGGGACCAGGCACAGACTCAAAGCACAGCGCCAGCTACCAGAAGGCCACGAGAGACCGGGCACAGAACCGCCCCGCACAGCGCCGACTACCTGAGGGCAGAAGAGGGACCAGGCACAGACTCACCGCACAGCGCCAGCTACCAGAAGGCCAATGGAGACCGAGCATAGAACCCCCCCACACAGCGCCAACTACCTGAGGGCCACGAGAGAGACCGGGTAGATGCAAGTAAGGTTGGATTAAATTCCATTTTTCCCCCATTTGCTTAATATGGCCTGCCTGGATCATGTGCATAAAAGATTCACAGATCTCTCAATACCATTACCTCTTCGAATTCGAGCAGAGAACAGAAGCTTTAGAAAGTCATTCCACAGCCATTCAACCAGCATGCTCAGTGGCACATCTAGTCGTCCACTTCCTTCGGTGGCAGATACAGTTTCTTTACCACCGACAGTTACACCAGCTCATTTTGTACCTTCCAATCTCAGGAAGGACGTTAATATAATTTCACTTCTCATAGCAGCCCATGACATCGCAGAGAACAAGTTCTATGCCTGTGGTGACATCTGTTATTTTAAAAACCAAAGACCCCAGGTTAAATCGCAAACTTAGATTTCCTGAGATTGTGTTAGCTTTTAGGGTCTACATGGATGTCATTTTTTTCAGTCAGTGCTTCCAGGAGGGAAGAATTTGACTTTCATTTACATTTAGTGGTGGACTTGGGGCTCAAATATGGAGGTATAGCGTTGTAGGAGTACCACAGGGCATTATCAGCCAAAAGCCGCTGCTGCCTTGTCTCAATTTCAGTTCGTCACAGACCGGGGAAGGATTGGCATGGAACTGTTTTGCAGACATTTCTCAGGGCTTAGATACCCCCCTTTGCGCCTTGTGTCAATCTTCTGCTCATAACTCCAATTGGTGCCCCACGTCTGCCTCTGCCGATACTAGTTTTGAAAAGTCTGGGACTGGGTTGTTGCACTCTTCCTGCTAACACAGCACAGTTCGACAAACTGGGCAGGGCTATTCACTATCTGAGGAAAGCCCAGATCTGTAATAACTACAATTATAAAACATGTAGTTACAGGCAGTGCAGGTTATTACATGTTTGTGCTGCGTGTTACAGGGCTCATCCAAAGTCGGCCTGTACTCTGAAGCAAAATACTTTATGACTAAGCCGGGTTAATGTTCCATTTCTGTCTATTTGTATAGAGAAACATCCATCCATGACGTTCAAGAAGTTTCTCATAGAAGGTTTCATACAGGTTTAAATCACTCTGCCTTAGTCATCTTATGAAATGTCCCAAGTTGAGATCAGCCTCATTGGATCCGGAAACATTAATGGGGGTTCTAAACCCTCCGTTTTTTTTGCCTACATTTTGGCTACCAAGCAGGAGATGTAGACAAAAAGTTAAAAAAAAAAAAAAACCACGCTTCATCAGCGCTTTAAACTTACGTAGGTTATCGCTGCGGAAGCCGAGAATCAGGAACTCATCGTGCTGCCGCAAAAGGATCTTGGGGCGGGCGCATGCGCATCTCGGCCGGGAGACGAGCAGGGACACAAGGTAAGTCTATGGATGCGTGCACCCGCATGCAGACACCTCTGGACTGGAAGTGCCTGCAAGCAGAGAGGAGTCAGCGCTGGATCGGAGAGGTGCCGTACTGCTGGAGGGACAGATGAAAACATCAGGAAAGAAGATCGGAATAAGAGACATAATCTAAGGTAAGTGCTAACATTAACATGGGGGGGGGGAGGGACTTTTTGACTTTAATGTCACTTTAACAAATGAGCTGAGAAAGGTTTTTTTTTTAAATATTTCCAAGCCTTCCTTTCAGGTTTGGAGAGCGAGTCCTACTGGCTTGGTGTGTGGCATATTTTCAAATAAAATATTGTTTAATTTACGATTTGGTCGGCCCCTTATTCATCCTGTGTGCCAAGTTTGAATGCTTTAATCTCATCTGAGGAGTTTTCTCTCAAGTCTTTTTCTGTCCAGCAGGCCATACAATACATCCTTCAGTCAGGTACAAATTATTGGTTGTGTAAGGCAGATATATCTGATGCCTTTAAACTTTTACCCATCAAGCAATCTCTCTGGCAGCGGCATGGCATTCGTTGGAGGGACAAGGATTTCTCCACCAAATTAACTGTGGGTCTAAAAGTAGCCCATGGTTATTTGACGCGTTTGCACATGCTCTCAATTGGATCCTGGCGAATTATGCAGTCAGAAAGCAATTATTTGGATGATTTCCTCCTCATCGATTCACCTTCTGAAGCCCCTCGGTACCTTCGGGTTTTGTGGTCAATTTTCTCAGCCCTTGAGGTTCCAGTGGCATCTCAAAGTAGCAGGTCCTGCCAAGGTCATTACCTTCTTGGGTATTACCCTTGACACTGCTTTAAGGCAAGCAGCCTCCCACTTGATAAGCTGAACAGAATCAGGTAAGTTATTCACATGTTGGTTCTGTCCCCGGTTTGTTCCAGAAGAGTTCTGCAATCTATCCTGGGCATGCTTAACTCTGGAAATTAAAGACCTGACCTGCAGGATGATTCTCATCACAGATTGCCAGCCCCTTGCCATTTGCCCCCAACCCAGAGTCTAAGGTTTTTATTGACAGTGCTGCTCGTGCAGACCTGGTTACGTGGGATGAGTTTCATCGCCACAGGAATGGCATTTCCGCGTTTATTCAACAAGCTTCCGCAGCCTATCCTCATGTAGTTTGGTACGGATGCCTCGCCTGGGTTTGCAGCTATTTTTGGCACACACTGGTTCGCTAGTGCCTGACCAGAGGAGGTATTGATGATTTACCCCATTGTTACGGCCGCTCTTGTGTGGGGCAACCTATGGTCAGGTGAAACGGTGGTATTTTATACAGATAATTTAACCACGGCAGAGATCCTAATCCCCAACCCTAATCCCAAGATGTACTCTGCACATTCTTTCCGTATAGGCACAACATCTGCTGAATCCTGGCACGGCGTTACCAGCACGTGATCAAAAGTTTCGGGAGGTGGCATTCGTCATTTTAGTAGATACATTTCAAACCCACAGTTTGAAATGTCCTTAGCTTTCTCTAAATTAGCTGAACGATAAGAATTTATTCAATAAACTCTCTCTAAATGGCCGTCTTTTGCCCCCTTTTTTGGTGTACTGTCCAACCTGACTATGGCACATCTCAGGTCAGGTCAGCACAGTTACTTAGACTCCTCACACAAACATAAGTGTTATCCCAATTTGGCTGCAAAAGTGGAAATACACTTTCAGTTTAAAAATATACCAAGTTTCTCCTACTTACTTGAGTTATAAGAAGGAAGGTTACAAGTGCTAGATTTTATAGCTTTGTTTTTCTTTTATGTAAAGAAGTTCCTTCTTGCACATACTGTAGGTGTAAAGAGCCCCCGAAAGGAAATTAGCACTATCAATCAACAATCTACATACTTACACCTTTGTCCACAAGGTTTAATGTTGGTAAGTGCAATGCTCTTGTATGAGAGGATTTCCAATCCACAGGCATTACATTGCCATAGTTGTCATTCAAAGCGTTCCAGATTCTGGAGGTAAAAATAAAACAAAAAACTGTAAATGAACAAAACTGATATGCAATGTCTGTTTATAAAACATGTAGCCAGAGACAAATACATTTTCACCACCCATATTTTACTCTTCAGTCTACCCAAAGTGGAACTAAATGTTTTTTTTAAAAATGGTTCCACTATACCTGCTGGATTTCTTTTAGTTATTTTACATTATAAAGAATGCAGAAGAAATGAGACACTGGATTGTCACAGAGGCACAGTTCTTAAGAGTTCTAACAAGACAATGATTGCTGAATTTTGTATAAGAATGGTACTTTTCAACTAATATTCTTTATTTCTTTACACAACAATTGAGAATACAATTCAGAATACCTGCATACCCCGAGTTAAAAAGAACAAATATTTGTATATCTTGTGTATATCTGCGTTTTACATATGTACTGTCACCGTCAACAGAGCCCCAGGGTGACAGTATATACACACACATTGTGACAGGTCCTCTTTGGAAAAACATCAGGGGTCTAAACATACATACAGTCCTTAATCTTCATCTTCCTGCTGCCCATCACTTTTACTGAACACAGAAGTGCCCATTACTGAGTACCAAGATGTTAGAAAACAGAAATACCGTATTTTGCGCTCCATAAGACGCACTTTTTTCCCCCCAAAAGGAGGGGGAAAAAGTGCCTGCGTCTTATGGAGCGAATCCCGACGCCTGAGACATGCAGTTTCGGGCGCCGGGCGAGTAGTAGGAGCCACTGCTCGTTTAATACGAGTGATCTAACGAGATCACTCGTATTAAAACCAAGAAGCGGCGACGATCGAGATAACCATAGGAGCAGACGAAGAATAGACGTTCTTCGCCTGCTCTGTGTCATCACTGAGACCGTGGCGCTGTAATCACAGCACCACCTGTCTCAGCGGTCACTAACTGCAGCTTCTGTGACAGCTTCTGTCATAGAAGCTGTCACAGAAGCTACAGTCTCGAGTGCTCCATAAGGCGTGCCGGACCTCCCTGCGTCCTATGGTCCGGTGCGTCTTATGGACCGCAAAATACGGTAGATTAGTTTAACCACTGCCAACAATGTACAGTATGTCATGTCAGCAGGAGAGCGAGCTTATACACAAACCATTAGTTGCTAGAACAGCTGGTAATTTGCTTATACTGTCACAGCCGACTGTCAGCTTTTTAGTGGTGGCTTTACTGCAGCCCAATCACTTCTACATGTGTGGCAACATGGCACCCACCTCCATACCTTCAATGGAGTGCATAGGTGACATTAGGGGTCTAATAGGCCTCTGATGTCCCCTTTAAAAAGAAGCTGGTCCCCCTTAAAATAGTAAATAAGAGGGGGGGGGGGAAGAAAAAAGGAAATTAAGCTAAAATATAAACATTTAAAAATAAAAAAATGTATTAAAAAAAGGTTGTGCTTGCATATACAACAATTGTGCCACACATGTTGCATATTGTCACACATCATTCACTGTATTTTTGGGTACCGTAGTTTTTCAGTGCTTTACAGGAGCTCTCAATTTTGAGGATTGACATGCTTGGTATTTTATTTTACTTGTGTGCAATAAAATTAAATTTGAATGCATATTTGTACTGAAAATTTGGTTTTGATAAACAGTTGCGCTAATATCATCTGACATAAAACATTGCAACTGACACCATTTTATTCCACAGGGTTTTGTTTTTTCAGAAATATA